GCGACCCAGCAGCATATCCTGACGACCTTGCATGCGATTGGTTGTTTCTATTTAATCTCTTCACTGTCTACATATATATTTCGATTGGTTGTTCTGCTGACGTGAACTTTGACCTTCTTGTTGTTTCTCATCACTTGATAGATTGGGTCACTGTCAATATGCTTGTTACTTGTTGACTGACCTGAACACCAAGCTTTTAAAAATTCTCTGGTATACTTTGTATCTCCTCTATCCGGAGTTTCAACATTGTCCCCATCAAATTTCTGTCTATACTTGTCTATATGTAATGATATGAGCGAAGATATTTCATGACACTTCAGTGCTAGTTGATGTCCATATAGACGAATACGAAGAGGGCCACCACTGTGTCCGTTGTAATGATTTTCACAGTTTCTGCAGTCAGTTTTGTAGATAATGTTTGGTTTGTTTTCCATTTGCTATTGCGTCTTTTGGTCTGCATAATAGGGAGTGAAGAGAATTTGTAGGCTTATGATTCGCAGTGATTCCAAAAGGCTTCAATAATCTAGTTGTGATCTCAGAAAAGTTCTTTATGTAAGGTTGGTTTCTGAGGATGACTTTTTCGTTGACCGGGAATTAGATAAACATCTTTTAATGAAGTTACGAAGAAAGCTGTCCTTTTGGAAAACAATCATTAAATAGTTTTCTTTTCTCCTTAAGGTGGATGTACTACACTGTGTTTTCACTCCTTTGAAGAAATATGTCGACTTTGTCACCATCTGTCAAGCGATGAGAAACAACAAGAAGGTCAAAGTTAACATCAGCTGGACAACCAATCAAAATACATATGTAGACAGTGAAAAATTCAACAGAAACAACCAATCACATACAAGGTCATCAGAACAAGCAACTAAGTTACTTTTGGAAAAATTCCCTAGCTCAATTCTATCTAAAGTTTGTGCTGATGACGTTGTCTAGAATAACAACGATTAAATAATTCAGATCAGAGGACACAACACCATCAAAAAGTATCTGAATTCATCGGATAATCGGTTTGTTGACTGTACTCACCAATAAGTGGGTAGATATTCGTAGGAAGTATCTCACCAAAGTCTCCATAATCTTGCAAACCTAAGTACAGCTTACCTCCCAGAAAAAACCTTCCTCTAGGAGGCCTGTCCCGTGAACTTCTACTACCGACAAATCCAATGTGGTGGATCCCTTCGAGCTACTAATATGCTGCTGAAGCCTAGGCTAACGACGCCGGTACTCTGAAACAAATATCGCTAGCCTTCACATCGCCTACCGGAATTAAGAAGCTAGATTCATGTTAACTTTCTATTGCACTGCGCCTAGTGGACTAGGCTGAATTCTGACGGCTAACAAAACCATCCGTGCTTTCGAGACGTGCTCCACTGACCCAACTCATATGGATCTCGTCGCCCTCGTATTCATTAAGTCAAATTGGTGATTTGTTAGTTGATATCCAGCAGAGCTATGAAGGGGCTCATCCTTAAAAGCAGTTAGACCTGACTCGTAATCTCCGGTATACAACTTATCCTCGGTTTTTACAAGGCAGTAATACAAATCCAGCACTAATTAACCGCACCATGTAGAGCTTCTTCCCGTCAATGCTCTGGTACGTGAATGTAAAGCAAATCTGCGCTGCCTTCAAAAATTCTTAATTACTCCCGCGAAACATTCACTTTGTCGCTTCTAGGAAATTCTGACTTTATCTGCCTTCCAACTTTCGTTTTTACATTTCTGTAATGTTCATCCATTCATTTCAAGATTAAATGATCCTTCTAATGATCCCTTCAAACAATTGTTTAACTGTGTGATGATTCGAGATGAAATGAGAATTAGGTCCCCGACAGGATTCGAACTGGTGACCACTGGGTTTCCGGTCCGGTCCTCTGACAACTGAGCTACAAGGCTGAACTGCTTATTGGATTTTTCTTTCACTTCAATCATAAAGGATTTTTCCTGACTACCATGAGAATTCGCTTGATCGTATTCACATTGACTGGTGCCTAATCAGAACTTCTCATCCCAATCAAATGTAACTGAATCAGAGAGGGGGAACATTATTATGGTTATTATTCTGACTATTTGGGATATCCATAGTTTAGTAGACTTGTATTGTCAGTGAATGATGCTCGATTTTGAAATGGAAATGTGAACCGTGGTGGGATTCAAAGCAGTTACCTTTGGATTGGAATGAGAAGTCCTGACTAGGCACCAGCCAGTGTGAATACGATCAAGCGATGGTTATGCTTCAAGAATTCATATGATAGTCGGACAAAACTCATGGTGATCGAAGTAAAATAAAAAACCTGATGGTCGCTAGTCCGAATCCGGCTTTGGTTCAATACTAGTCTGGCAAATCACAGTTATCTCAGATAGTCAAAATGATAATTATTTAGCTGTACAATGCTCAGTTTTGTTACGTCAATTTATTTTCTATTCCTATCAAAATTTCAAGTCAAACACAAAGTAGGCAAAATATCCTTCGAATTGATTGAAAAAGGTTTTAGGTACATGATGTGATTGATTTTTCTTGATTTGTCTAAATTAATGTAACGGCAACCAGTTGTATGAAATGTCTACTTCCCTAAAAATTTCTGTTCTACATAAGTATTCATTAAACCACGTAGACGAATTCAACCAAACTTACTATATATATAACCTCGCCTGGTTAACTAGTTCATTAGTTATTAACCGGTCCTTAACCCGGGTAAAGAGGGAAAGTTGGGCGTAGAGCTAGCAACCCTACCCCGTAAAACAAATCCAACCGCCAAAAAAACTTCAAAGCAAAAACAAAATCATTCCTCACTGGAATCGCAGAGGCGAAAGGACGCCGGTTGGTGAGAGCCTTCGGGAAGCCAGTTGGCCTGGCCGATGTGTCTTCTCTCTCTCGATGAAAGCGAAAGTAAACGTGGGGACATGGAATGTCCGCAACATGTTCGAACCTAGCAAGGCTGTCCAGATTGCAAACGAGATGAGGAGGTATCACACTGAAGTGTTAGGAATCTGCGAAAGCAGATGGAATAGAAGTGGACTCTCAAAACTTCCAACTGGATAAAAGTCAATAACCTACTCCGATATTATCACGCAGACGACAACTACGAGCACACTGAGTTTTGGAGTGGCTATTATGATGTCCCTGAGAGCCTTGAAGGCTCCCATGCAGTGAGAACCGATCTCCTCCGGGACCATGACAGCAAGGTTCAACTAAAAAGGAAGGAAGGGAAGCGACGAGTTGGGCGTCCGAGGGTGACATGGAGGAGATCGTGCGAGGAGGAAATGACAGCTTGTGGGCTGTCATGGGACCAGGTTCAAACGATTTCAGAGAACAGAGCGCACTAGAGACGTGCTAATGAAGCCCTATTTTCAATTAGGAACCTAAGGGACAAATAATAAGTATATATATATATATATATATATATATATATATATATATATATATATATATATATATATATATATATATATATATATATATATGACATCTAATGAAAACATCATCATCTTGTTTAAAGCATTAAAATCCTTAATACTCTCAACAAACTCAAATGTATCACGGATCAAGAAACTTGATACTCGCCCTCGAACAGGTTACAGAATTTCAGCTAACCATTGAACAGTTAGGGGAAAACCAGCCATACCCAGGATCGGACGAAGAGGTAATCCCGCTCTATGTATCTTTGGTAGTCCATATAGACGTGGGATTATGGAGCCAACTGGTCAGATACGTGCATATAAATCGGAGCCAATTATTGGCTTGTCCCTCATGCTTCTTAAGACATTGTGAGTTGTGTTTCAATTAAATATGTCTTGTTGTGCTCACCTTCGGGTTTAGTAAACTTAGTGGGATCAGAAAGAATTGGGAAAAGTTTATCAATACATTCCTGATGATATTACTTAATATCCAATAAAAAATGCACCTATATGCTCTAAGGTATAACATACTGGTACTAACTACTTCTATTACAAAATATTAATAAAATGTACTTAAAGTTCATTTTGTCGGTCACATTAAAAAGCATTATTATTATTTGTCCTTGGGTTCCTACAGGAACATAGGGCTTCAGTAGCACGTCTAGATTCCACTCTCTTCTCTGAAATCTTTTCAACCTAGCTCCACCACTGCCCACAAGCTCTCATTTCTTCCTCACATGATCTCCATGTCACCCTCATCTCGGACGCCCAACTCATCGTTTCCCATTTCGATTCCACTCGAGTACCTGGCCTGACCTGGCTTGATGTGTGACGTCCCCAGTCGGCCTTCTCAGTGCATGTCCAATACATCTCCACGTCCTGCTACTGCTTATTTGTTGAGTGATAGGTTCTCGCTTAGTTAGTTCGTTGTCAGCCACAGTTCCTTGTTTCTTATTCTTATTATTCTGGCCATCTGATCTTCAGTAACGAGCTAATGTAGGCAGTTGTTGATGAATGTCTGTAGTTTGTTGAAAAATGCCTTTCATAACGCGCCAAGTCTCTGAACCATCAAACGGGAGCACTGACTTGACTGAATTGGTGTTGAAACTCCGGATGTTGTTCATGCTTTATGCTGAGTGCAGTGCAGAAGATCTCAACACTGGTTTCAGACTAATAAAAGCCTGCCTTGCTGTCTTTCGGATCGTGGTTTTGACATCCTCGTCTGTGCCACCTGTAGTTAATAAACATGGTGCGGACATTCCATGTCCTCTCGTTTACTTTCGCTTTCATCGAGAGGAGGGAAGACACATCGGCCAGGCCAATTGGTTTCCCGAAGGCTTTGACCAAACGGCGTCCTTTCGCCTCTGCGATTCCAGTGAGGAATGATTTTGTTTTTATTTTTATATTTTGTTTGTGCTTTGAAGTTTTTTTGGCGGTTGGATTTGTTTTACGGGGTAGGGTTGCTAGCTCTACGCCCAACTTTCCCTCTTTACCCGGGCTAAGGACCGGTTAGTAACTAATGAACTAGTTAACCAGGTGAGGTTTAAAAAGCGTTTTACAAAAATATATATACCATTATCCATTTCTTTTTTTTCCTTAAGTTTATTTTAATGGATGCTGGTGGTACAATAGAACCGAATCAAGTGGTCGAAGGTATAACAACACTGTTTAATCCACAAACTTATCATCTATTTCCTACTGGTGCAGCTGAATTAATGAGACCTTATCTACCTGATTGCTTAGCTTTCATATCAGATATTCATACAATGCATAAGGTGAGTGATTCTCAAGTTCGCCTTCTTCTACTTTACTGGTGTTTTTCTTAAAGAATTGTAAAATTGTACCGTCCTTTATGTAACTAATGTAAAGACTAAGGATTGTATACTGACTTTCAGTGGGACAACAACCTTAAATCCCATTTAATTTTGGTTGTGGGGAAAATAATTAACAAATTCAGTATGTTATTAGATGGTGCGGAATCAGGTAAGTATTTAGGAATTGGTGTTATAGACTACGGTATCATATAAAAACAATTATACTAAGAAGTATACCCATCACACAAGAAGTGGCTATCGTGGCTTGGTGGTGTAGTGGATAACGCGCTGGCGTTTGAAGCTATCGTTCCCGAGTCCGAATCCCCGTGAGACCAACGTCACTCACTGAGAAGCAGGTACATCCCAGCTGACGAGCCCCGAATAGGACGAAATGCGCATCCTGGATTCCACTGCTAGCCATGATCCATCACTAACATAAGTTAGAGCTTAAGAACAAAAGTGAAAAAGGATAAAGTAGAAAGTTGATGCCTTTAGGATACAGAGTCTAAAATCCAAGATTTATCTACTGAAGTTTGAAAGTTAAGATTATTGTAAGGACCAAAATAGAACTCAATAACTAACTATCCTCTAAAAAGTACCTTTCAGTTGAAATTCTTCTGTTTTTCTGTACTCAATCTATTAGTAAAGCATAACTCTAGTGATGAAACGGTAATTGAAAAATATATATTGCAAATTGTCTCACATGTTTCTTATTTTCTGTAATGGCATGCCAGCGACCACTGAAATAACCAATGATGTTTCTCTATTCTGGACGGAAAGTTACTGTTAGATCGGGTTAAGAAATTTTATTGGTTATACTTTCATATGCTCGATTGTTCTTAGTAATCACTCCTTTGTGTATGCCTTGCTATCTGAATAATAGTGCAGTTGCCGATACGTCTCTTACACTTATGAGAGACTAACTAAGGTGAATGCAAGAAGAAATGCTCCCCTTCTGCGTACAGTAGAATACAAAGACTAACTGAGTGTAAAGAATGAGATATCTTGGTTGTATTGTGTTCTCTGAGCTGGGTTGTTCAATCTTGGAGCTTTCATCGTCTTGCTAGACGACATCATCAGCAGCATTAACTTCAGTATGTAGTGAGCTTTCAATATCCCTCCGTAAGTGACTTAGTAGCTTGCCCTGATGAGTCGGCTTGTGATTGGTTGTGATTGTTTCCTTTCATTGTTGTCATTGATTGTGAAGATTTTCCTATTGACTATTCCTCTGTTCTGTTGTTTATCGCTTTTCTTATTGGTTGACAGATTGAGTCTATGTCTGTACATCTATTGATTGCTGACTTATTAACTGACTGACCTGAATGCCAAGATTCTAGGAATTCGCTGATGATTTTCTTCGTATATCCTGCCTCCTCCTCCCTCTAAGATTTCTACATTTTCAAAATTGAATTCATCTCCATAGTTGGTATCCACGTACATTGAAATGCGTGATGAAATGTCATGACGTTTAATAGCCAATTGGTGTTCATGTAAGTGACGAAGGGGAAGAGAGTGACCACTTTGTCCAATGTAGTGTTGATTAGAGTTATTTCAGTTGATTTTGTAAATGATATTCGGTTTGTTTTCTTTGGTTGTTGTATCTTTTGGTCTATACAATAGTGTTTGTAGGGAATTAGTTGTTTTATGAGCCACATGAATTCCACCAAATGGTTTCAGTAATCTTGTCATGATTTCTGACATGTTCTTTATATACGGTAGGATGATGCGTTTATCGATTTCTGTCGATGACTTTGTAGTTGATGATGTATAGGATAAAATTTTGTGGGTAGGCGTTATTCTTTCGGATAGACATCACGTAATTTTCTTGTTTTCTCCGTTTCTCCGAGAATGAAATCTATGAAATAATAGAATACTAGTGATTTAGAAGATGGTAAGATGTGTAGGCATTTGCAAAAATCTGATTGATTTAGAAGTATATCACCTAGATAAAGTTTTCATCGATCGTTGTCCGTTGGCTTCCAGTGTGCCACTAGACAGTCTACATTTTACTGCATAGCTCAGACCAGTTATCAAATACTTCAGGAATTTGTCCTATATCTTTGTTTGTTTACTTTGTGATTTCTTTTCATCTTATCCCTCTTTCAACTAACATTATATATTGAGGGTAGGCAGTGACTAGTCTATGAAATATCACTAACTTATCAACACCTCCAGGACATATTGATACAGTTAGATGAAACTGTAAAGTTATGAAGTGAGTCTGTTAAGCAAATATGTTTCGATAACGCTATTAGAAGACGAAAGTTATCTGAGCAATGTGATGTATTTGCGCAATACATTTCGAAATATCTGATCACACATTTACTTGTCAAGTCAATTTATATATAAGAAAATTAAACGTCAAATATAGTGAATATGAAAAGGTTGTGACACTAGTCTTGGTAATATAATCAGATTGCCAAGGATTGTCAAGGTGAATTAAGTGAAACAACAAATTGTTTTTGTACACACAGTGGGGGATTAAGTTTACGAATGGCTAACGCTTCGGCAAAAAAAAAAAAAAAAAAAAAAAAAAAAAAAAAAAAAAAAAAAAAAAAAAAAAAAAACCAGAGCTGGTTGAAGGCTAAACTAGTTGATATAGCCCATCAATTCCATAACCCAGGTCCGAAACAGAGATGCATTTTAACTACGCAACACTTCAAGTCCCTGAAAAACTTACAGAGGAATCCTGATGTGATAATTCTTAAGCCTGATAAAGGATCAGGTGTTGTGTTGATGGACAAAGCAGACTACAAAAATAAAATGTTGTCTATTCTTTGTGATAAAAGTAAATTCTTGGCAGATGTTCCGTCAGAGGATATAAGAAAATTAGAAAGAAAAGTAACAACTAGTCTAGTTAAACTCCTTAACACGGATGTCATTGCTAAAGCGGAGTTTAATTCCTTGAAACCCATGGGATCTAATTTCCCAAATCTATATGGACTTCCAAAAATTCACAAAATTGATAATCCACTACGCCCAATATTGTCAATGTGTCAGTCTCCCACACACAAATTGGCGAGGTGGTTAGCCGAATTACTGAGCCCGATTCGTAATGATTTATGTAAGTATTCACTGAAAGATACGTTTGAACTTGTTGATTATCTTACTGATTTGAATATTAAAAATAAGAAAATGTATTCTTTTGATGTTAACTCTCTGTTTACAAATGTGCCTCTAACGAAGACAATTAATATTCTTTGTGACCACATATCTTCGAATTATCCTTCTTTCCCTATTCCTTCAACTTATTTGAAAGAACTGCTTTTATTATGTACTGATAAGGTTCATTTCACTTTCGAAGGTGAACACTTTCGGCAAATTGATGGTGTAGCCATGGGGAGTCCATTAGGACCGTTATTAGCTGATGTATATATGTCACATACTGAACTAATGGCTCAAGATCTAATCACCAATGTCACACTCTATAGAAGGTATGTGGATGATATCTTTGTAATATGTGACACAGATGAGGATGCCAAGAGGTTATTAAAAAGGCTTAATACCGTACAAGATCATATCAGTCTGACATGTGAGGAAGAAAAAGACCATCAACTTGCATTTCTTGATATACTCTTGTGCCGGAGGGAAGATGGATCTATAAAACGATCAATATATAGGAAGTCTACTTGGACAGGACAGTATTTGAATTTCCATAGTTTTTGTCCGATGAAATATAAGAGAGGCTTGGTAAGATGCTTGTTCAATAGAATCCAACGTATTTGTACATCTGATACGATGGATGATGAGAATAAGTTTCTGACAGACACTCTAGTGGAAAACGGTTATCCATTACAGTTTGTCAACCATTGTAAAAAACAGTTGACCCCAAAGCCTACAGTTTCCTCGGTCCCGAAGAAAAGCATATTTCTTAAAGTACCATAAAGAGGGGAAACAAGTAGTATGATATTGAAGCAGAGATTAAAATCTGTTATCAGTAAAACATACTATGCAGCTCAGCTTATCATTGTTGAGACGACAAAACACCTGCTTCACCACAAACCTCAACCTCGCACAAATGATTACATCACATCCTACTGCGTTTACCAATTTACATAGGAAGGTGTGCACACATACATAGGGAGGAGTAATCGTTCAATGCAGACTAGGGTGGGTGAACACATCCCCAAATGGCTAGAAAAACAGTTTAACACACAAACTTTGATAAGTGCAGGTGACAGACATCCATCGTCATCTATAGCAAAACATATTATTGAAATGAATCACAGGGTTAATACGAAAACAGCGTTTAAGATAATATACAGGAATAATCAGGGGCGCATACTGAAGTTTGCCGAAGCGTTAGCCATTCGTAAACTTAATCCCCCACTGTGTGTACAAAAACAATTTGTTGTTTCACTTAATTTACCTTGGTAATCCTTATCTGATTATATTACCAAGACTAGTGTCACAACCTTTTCATATTCACTATATTTGACGTTTAATTTTCATATATAAATTGACTTGACAAGTAAATGTGTGATCAGATATTTCGAAATGTATTGCGCAAATACATCACATTGCTCAGATAATCTTCGTCTTCTAATAGCGTTATCGTTATTAAAGGGACTAATTGTTTCAAGCAAATATGTATCGAATATACAATTTAATACTGAATACTAACAGTCCTAATGCATTTCTAGTGAGTAATAAAGATATACATGAGACGAATTCATAAAATCTGAGACGAAGAACGTGAGACAGAGAAATCTTTCCGAGTGATTCATAATTACTGTGACAATTCACCTTGCATCTTTTAACATGTTTCCAGACTGAACATAATTGGTGCGAAGTGTTCTGACTACCTTGAGATGGCTGTTTATGTAAATAAATCTCTGCATGATTATAAAAGATCCGACTGACTTCTAATGACTTACACTATCTATGGTGTAAGTGAGATATCAGAGTACTAATTAAAAGTCAAGTATACTGAACAGAAGTTCTCTATTTCCTACTAAATGGCTATCAAAAACATGACCGTTAAGGGTAAAGGAAATTAGAAGACTTCAGATATTCGACTACTATTGCCTTCGTAGCACAGACTGTAAGTCGTGGGACCTATAAATTAGTAACATAGGCATCAGATGTGTAGAGTTTCATGTTGCATACACCTAACCACCACTTATACCCTCGGTCAATGTCGGCTTAAATGAGTTTACGCTTTAGAAAGGTTAAAGGTTACCAGAATAAAACATGGAATCAGTCTATACAATCTCTGACTAGTGATCTAAGCTATGAACTGTTATGCAGGAAAAAAACAAATCCCATGTAATGTTAACTGATTGTTTATTAGGCTGAAGTATCATACATCTGTTTATAAAAATATGCATAATTATTAGCTGAACGAGTAATATGAGTTTATCGCTGTGTTTCAAATTATCGCTATAAGATTACATTAGTGAAGTTTGCTTAACTTCGTTTAGCCTAGTTTCTTCTGAGTAGACAATTTTCTTTTGGTTTACAGATTAAACAATCTCAAAAATCAGCAGTTCAGTTGAATAGTATTGGATATGGACTTGGATCTTCATCTATGACACCTGGATCTGGTGCATGTGGAGGTGGTAATATTGATTCTAACATATTAGGAAGTGGTGGAGGAGCAACCAGTAGCTCAAGTACTGGTCTTTTTGGTGGAACTTTTAATTCATCAGGAGCATCTAATTCTGGTCCTGGAACAACAGGAATTAATTCTGGTGTTGGGCTTGGAGCAGGTATTCCAAGTTTACATGAAGATATTTTGGGAGCACATTTAAAATCTGGTTTAGCTCAATACATTTCATTAGAGTTATCAAGATCTAATAATGGAGGAGATCAGGATGTTTTACCTTTACTTGCACCAGGATTATTAGCTGATATAAAGACTGTACGAACAACAAATAAAACTATATCACATGGATTACGATCAAAAATAGGTACTACTACATCGGGATTAAATGCTGTTTCAGTAGGAACAACTGGAAAGAATGTAAGTTTACTAGGAGAAGGTGGACATACAATCAATTCTGAATATATAAATACACAAGTTAAAAGTAATAAAACTAGTGGATTAGTTACTAAGCCAAATGATATTCATTCAAACACAGCAATTATTGTTATCACACAACCAGATAATAATGAATCAACTAATAATAATTCGAATGATATAAATCATAGTCGTTTAACAACATTAACTTCAACAACATCATTGAATAAAGGACAAGATGGTAGTAGTCCTAAATTATTATTATTATCTCCTACACTATCTAGTTCAACAACAATAATTTCAAATGATCAAATCTCTTCTACTACAGCTTCAATATGCACAATAAACTCAAATTCACCAAATTCTATATCTCCAACAACATCTACTACTCCTATGATACCTAGTCCTTATTTGACTAGTCCACGTCAACTCAACTATGCACATGTTATGCTGACATCACCATTTATGCATACAACTCATTCAGAAGCACCAATATTGCAATATTTACCATGGTTAAAGTCTACTCCACCATCATCTCAACTAGGGTGAGTTAAATATCAGTTTTCTCAACAGATTATATTGACTTCTCATGAGATGGGTACAGTTTTAGTATAATTGCTTGTATTATACCCGTTGTTGATTAGACTCAATCGATTGGTCTCCATTGTCATATAGGCTCCTGCCTGGATACCTTGATATTGTCTGTGTTTAAATTCTGTATAGTAATGATGGCTAGTGGCTAGCAGTAGAATCTAGGATGAGCATTTTTTCCCTGTCTCCAACTCGTCAGCACTATGCCCATCGTACAAAAAGTAGCTATCGTGGCTTGTTGGTCTAATGGATGACGCTCTGACGTTTCCAAATATGGAAATATGGAAAAATGGAGCATTACATTCTGACCCAGTGGCTCGATAGTAACGCGCTGGCCGCGGAACCTGAAGGTCACGGGTTCGATCCCTGGCGGGGTCGTGGGTGCGCACTGCTGAGGAGTCCTCATATCCAGACAACTGCCAATATGCTTGAAACCTACATTCATGGCTTTCTGCTAATTGACTCCCATTATCCAATACCATTAATCTGAAATCAGTGTTGAGGTCTACTGCACTGCAATCAGCATAAAGCATGAACAACATCCAGATTTTCAGCACCAACATCAAGTCAATGCTCCCATTTGATGGTTCAGAGACTTGGCACGTTATGGAAGGCATTTCCAACAAACTACAGACATTCATCAACAACTGCCTACCCCGGCTCGTTACTGAAGATCAGATGGCCAGAATAATAAGAATAAGAAACAAGGAACTGTGGCTGACAACGAACCAACTAAGCGAGAACCTATCGCTCAACAAATATGCAGTTGCAGGAAGTGGAGATGCATTGGACATGCACTGAGAAGGCCGACTGGGGACGTCACGCATCAAGCCAGGTCAGGCCAGGTACTCGAGTGGAATCCAAATGGGAAACGACGAGTTGGGCGTCCGAGATGAGGGTGACATGAAGATCATGTGAGGAAGAAATGAGAGCTTCTGGGCAGTCGTGGAGCGAGGCTCAAAAGACTGCAGAGAAGAGAATGCAATGGAGGTATGCTGCTGAAGCCCTATGTTCCACTAGAAAACCCAAGACGATATTAATAATAATAATATCTTAGTCCGTGAGATCAATTCTGAGCTATATTACACAAAATTTACAACCACTGATTTCAATTGTTAAATGAAATGGAATCGAGAAGTCGACATTTGCTTGAACGCACCAGGTAATTGGTCACAGACTTCATATTTTAGTATGGCTGTCTTTAAAGCAAAGTTACTTTACAATTTTGTCCTTCTAAATTTACCCATCGTGCTTATTTGAATATTTGTATATTGTGTCCCAATCAAGTGTATATGATGAGTGACTTTAAGGATCATTTTAAAGGCCACCCTAACAACTGCCAAAATAATCAATCAGACTGCGGTATTTCGGCTGGGAAGATAATTTTTCGCTAAATAGAGAAACGTGATTGATTGATTGTTTCATCAGTTGCTAGGGTAGCCTTTAAAATCACCCTGTATAAAATATAGATTATTCTCAGTTGAGGTTTTATAACTCAACAGAAAAGCATATCTGTTTTTGAAATGGAGAAGAATATTTTTATCTCAAGTGGATGATCTTGATTGTGTTGTGTTCTCTAAGATGGGTTGTTTAATCGTGAAGCTTTCATTGTCTTTCTAAACAACACCATCAGAACTTAACGCAATGTGGAGTGAGCTGTCAGTATCACTCCGTGAGGGATTCAGCAACCTGCCCTGATGAACTGGTTTGTGATTGGTTGTTTCCTTGATTGTTGTATCATGGACTGTATCGATTTTTCTGTTGGCTGTTCCTGTGCTTTACTTCTGACCTTTCTCTTGTTTATCACCTTCCTCATTGGTTGATAGATTGCATCTATGTCTATACGTCTATTGATTGCTGACTGACTGACCTGAATGCCAAGCTTCTAGGAATTCTCTGGTATCATTTATGTTTCCTCTGTCTAAGATTTTCACATTGTCAAGTCTATAGTTATTCATTATGAAAAATACATTAGAAATCACGACAAGATTACTGAAACCATTTGGTGGAATTCATGTGGCTCATAAAACAACTAATTCCCTACAAACACTATTGTACAGACCAAAAGATACAACAACCAAAGAAAACAAACCGAATATCATTTACAAAATCAACTGAAATAACTCTAATCAACACTACATTGGACAAAGTGGTCACTCTCTTCCCCTTCGTCACTTACATGAACACCAATTGGCTATTAAACGTCATGACATTTCATCACACATTTCAATGTACATGGATAACAGGTGTGGCGATGATGGAGGAGGAGGCAGGAAACACAAAGAAAATCATCAGCGAATTCCTAGAATCTTGGCATTCAGGTCAGTCAGTTAGTAAGTCAGCAATCAACGGATGTATAGACATGGACCCAACCTATCAACCAAAGAGAAAATGATAAACGACAGAAAGATGAGAGGTGAAGCAGAGAAACAGCAGACAAGAAAATCTTCACAGTCAGTGACAACAATGAAAGGAAACAATCACAACCAATCACAAGCCGACTCATCAGGACAAGCTACTAAGTCACGGAGAGGTATTGAAAGCTCACTTCATACTGAAGTTAGTGCTGATGATGATGTCGTCTAGCAAGACGATGAAGGCTCCATGATTGCACAACCAATCTTAGAGAACACAATACAAGTAAGCTCATTTGTTTCAAATGAAATTGTTTTCAACATACATTCTTCTAATTTCATTTTTATCTATATATATAGACCAAAAGATTTTCTAATTATGGTGGAACGAGTTCGTACACTATCATGGCTATTACTTGGTGCAACAATGAATATGGCGTTAACACGTGAAGCAACTGGTCTATCATGTCGTCCTATACCATTCAGTTTAGTTGTTTCAGTAGCAGATTTAGTCAAAGCACTATTAAGTGGATTTCCAGATCAACAAAAGGTGAGTTCATATTCACACTTTAATAACAATCATAATAATAATAATAATAATAATAATAATAATAATAATAATAATAATAATAATAATAATGTTCATCTGTTTAGCTTAAGATTTTATTATTACTTCATTCTTTATCCCTTGGGTTCCTTTTGGAACATAGGGCTTCAGTAGCACGTCTACATTCCACTCTCTTCTCTGCAATCTTTTCAACCTCGTTCCACGAAAGCCCACAAGCTCTCATTAACTCCTCGCACGATCTCCTCCATGTCACCCTCGACGCCGACGCCCAACTCGTCGCTTCCCATCTGGGTTCCACTCGACGGACTGGCCTGGTCTGACGCGTGATGTCCCCAGTCGGTCTTCTCAGTGTATGCCACATACAATCCATCTCCACTTCCTGCTACTGCATATTTGTTGAGTGATAGGTTCTCGCTTAGTTGGTTCGTTCCCAGAGCTCCTTGTTGCTTATTCTTTCTGGCCATCTGATCTTCAGTAACGAGCCGGTGTAGGCAGTTGTTGATGAATGTCTGTAGTTTGTTAGAAATCCCTTTCGTAACGCGCCAATTCTCTGAACCATATAGAAGCGCTGACTTGACTGAATAGGTGTTGAAAATCCGGATGTTGTTCTTCATGCTGAGTGTACGAGATCTCCACACTGGTTTCAGGTTAATGAACGCCTGTCTTGCTGTCTTTCCGATCCTGGTTTTGACATCCACGTTTGTGCCACCGCCACCTGTAGATGAAACAGTGCTGCCTAGATAGGTGAAGGAGGTTACTTCCTTTAAGTTTCTCCCGTTGATGGTAATTGGAGCTTGTTGTTGTTGGTGGTGGTGGTGGCGGCGGCGGCGTTGTTTGGGTATCATCATCACCTCTGTCTTCTCTATATTCACTTGAAGTCCCGTCTTCGCTGCCTACCCTCTTCTGTCAACTTGTTAGTTTTCGCCTGTACATCTTCTAGTTTGTGTGACATTGGACACAAGTCATCACTGGCGAAATCCAAGTCTTCTAGGTCCTTTTCTGCAGTTCAGCGTATGCCCCCCTCTTCTCGCTCCCCGCTGTTTGTTGCATGATCCAGTCCAGTTCACCACAATCAGGAATATCATGGGTGATAGTAAGCAACCTTGTTTTACTCCTGTCTTCACTTCAAAAGCATCACTGAGCTGCTTCTCATTGTGAATTACTTGGCATGTGGCGTCTTCATATAGTTGTTGAATGAGGCTCATAAAGGTTTGTAGTATTTCGTAGTGTTGGAGCAGTTTCCAAATTAGTTCACGGTCGACGCTGTCGAATGCCGCCCTTCTCAAAGTCGATAAAGTTGAGGTAGAGAGCTGACTCTCTTGATATGATAACTTCCTATCAGACTAAAAATGTCTGGATGAATTCAAATAGACGTTTCTGATTTTACATAATATACTTTCTTGGTGCTCCCTTCACAGTTGGACATGAGTACAACACCTTTCAATTGACTGGATATAATAAGAAGGGAAGTTTAAGACACCAAGAAATATCACTATGTTTCGAAAGCAGTAGAAAAGTGAAGATTTAATCGATACAGCATCGTCCAAATTTAAAGCTTGCCTGACTCTCGAGCACTACTTAGGTTTTGAGTAACTATGACTACTTACTGTTCTAAAATTTGTTGAAGATTTTTCTGTATCTAGTTGGTAGGAAGCGGCCTAAATCGAAATCAACATTCTAAGTCATCTCCAGGTAAGGTAAAAGTTTTGGATTTCAACCTTGTTTCGTATTACTGTGTGGTTAGGAAAATTCTTATTGGACAACTACGTCCTACAGTTAACTAATCAGAATAACTGTAGATAAATGACGTGTTTTTTTTGTCAAACAAAATTGTATTTCTTCGAGCCACGTGAAAGTCTTTGTTTTGTGATTTTGGTGGCTCCATTAAATTATCAGATGTGGGAGAGAACTGTCGCTAATCGTATCTACTCAAAGTGTTTCATTATATCAGTACGGTTCGCCTTATCATTATTATTCACTCGTTCACTTTACCATTATTGAAGATCATAATGCTAATAACACTATGGTAAGTTTAGTAGGCATTTTTGGAAACAACGAATATATTGATTTACTTATGATGAGTTAACGCAACCATCTATCAGTTATAATAATTTTGTTCTCTAATTTTTATTCTTTTCTACAGCAATCCGTCACTGTGATGTCTTCATTGTATCATGTTTTCCTTTTATGTCAAGTAAGTGCGCATGTCTACAAGTAAGTCATTTTACTTTGTCAGTACATTTATATCAAAGAGAAAATTTCATCAGAAGATTCATTTATATCATTGGTGATACTTGGAAGAAATAAAGTACAAAAGGACAATACTGCTGACTATAACTACCATATGGTAATACTTGTAGAATGAAAAGAAAGATAGACGAAAGTAATCAGTGTATTTTTACTCACTAGGATAAAACCTAGGCACTTCAGTTTGTTTAGTATCACACTATGAAACAGTATTATTTACTGGATAATATTTCCAGGCCATTGCACAACTTTGAGACACTTGATTTTTATAGTTCGAAGTCTGTTTTTTGCTTTGTGATATAGATGGTAGAAGTTTCCAGATACCTGCAACAAATACTGAATGTTGAGGGAGTTGTGGGGACTTGGAAATATTTCAAGTGGGGGCAAAGCCTGATGGTCGTGAGGACAGTTACTCAACGATGACACTGAGTGGCGGTTGCGCCATATCATGAGCTAACAGAAGTTGGAAATATGGAGCATTGGGTTCTGACCCAGTGGCTCAATGGTGACGAGCTGGCCATGGAACCTGAAGATCGCGGGTTCGATCCCTTAGGGGGGTCGTGCGTTAGGACTAAACAGCTGTCCAGTGCACCCAGGTTTCCTTTGTTCCTCCAATTGATGTCAGTCTACGATGAATAACAACTTGAAATACTGAATAATTCCTATTTCACGTTTTTCGTTTTGATTTAACTCTCACTTAGATTGCTCTGAATTAAATAGATTATTGTCTGCAATTGATCAATAGTCTCAAGTTAAACTCTTCCAAATGTTAGATTGTTAATTATAGTCTCAGGAGTAAACAAGACTTATGTGAGCTACTTAACTTTCATAAGGCATGTTGAACTGATGATATTTCAGTAGAAAGTAAATCCAATATTAAATGTCTTGGATTGAGTTTTACTTCTGATCGGTGTTGGTCGTCTCATATCTTGTTGACTTGTAAAAAGTCTTTCGTTTGACTTATTACTTAGGGAAACTGAGGCTTTGTGATATAACTTGCCCTCTACTTTTACACTCTAATAATTCCTGAATTTTATCTATTCTTCTCTATTGTTCCTCTTTGATCTTTCCTATTCTACTAAAAAAGGACTATGTTATATTGCATAGTGCTTCGAAAGCCGTCAGTAAGATGAGTGGTTTACCTCTGGCTCAACTGATTAATACTGTAGTTGACAGACATTTAAATACTAGTAAGCAACTAGCTACAGTAATTCTGACTGATATTCATAGCTCTGTGTGTGTGTGTGTGTGTGTGTGTGTGTGTATCTCCTCAGAGAGGATACGAATAAATCACATACAGCTATATGTTTGAAAAGCCAAGTACAAGAATTCGATTCTACTTTACCTAGCACGCATATTATATGAGAAAAAACGTGTTAGAACAGAACTCATATATCAACTTAGTAACAGTTAACAATCTCATTTCAATCATTCCAATCGTTTTTAATATTCTTCACATTACTTAAATTTTTATGATAACACAATTCGAAATGTTGTAAAGGAGTATGTACATACATAGATTTTGTTGTTATTGCAAAATATCATACTGAGAATTCCAAATTGTACCATAAATTGTTTGAAATAAAGTGAATTATATTTATTACTATTGATAAGCAAAAATTTGGTTATAGTAATAATGGCTAATGGCTAGCAGTGGAATCCAGGATGCGCATTTTGTCCTATTTGGGACTCGTCAGCTGAATGTACCTGCCTCCCAGTGATATTGTTCCTACCGAGATTCGGACCTGGGAGCGATCGCTTCAAAGACCAGGACGTTATCCAGTAGACCACTGAGCCAGGATAGCCACTTCTTGTGCGATGGGTACAGTTTTGGTACAACTGCTTGTACGATACCGCCATTGATTGGACCGGACTGATCGGTATCTATTGGCATATGGGCTCCTACACAGATGCCTTGATATTACCTGTGTTTTAATCATGGTAATGGAAAGATCGGTCACGAGTTCGAATCCCAGTAGGAACAACATCACTGGGAGGCAGGCACATCCAGCTAACGAGTCCCAAATAGGACGACATGCGCATCCTGGGTTCCACTGTTAGCCACTATCCATCATTAATATAATTAGAACATAGCCAATACCGAGGCATCCACACAGGAGCCCATATGCCAATAGAGACCGATCAATTCGATCCAATCAACGACGGTAGAATATAAGCAATTATACTAAGAATTTGGTTATCAATCTCATCTTTTACCTAAGTTAATCTTTAATCATCACTCTATCCCATCTTATTGTGTGTGTAACCGCATGCATAGCTGTAACTGACCTTTTTCCTAGATTCTTTTTATTACAAAGGTTTATCAATCTTGATGTAGTCAAATTTTATGCTGGAATAGCGTAATTAATTGTGGTCGACTATTTTGTCCTGCTTATTATTCCAAAGGGTTTAGTCACCTAAATTATTTTGCTTAATTGGATCAATAGGATGTTTTAACCCACATAACTTGTTTCCTTCCATTTAGTATTTCTTTATTGAAATTCATGCTGGGATAACATCATTTGGAGGAATATTTGAAACCTGTGAGCACTGGATAGCTGTTTCGCCCTACTGTGAGACTCCTCACCAGTGCGTATTGATGACTCCGCACCCCAGGGACTGAAACCAGAACCTTCGGATTCCATGACCAGCATGTTATCATTGAGTCACCGGGTCGGAATTCAGTAGTTCATATTTCTTACTTTTGTCAGTTCACGATATGGCATAACGTTCATCCAACGCCACTGATGAGTAACTGTCCTCATGTTTAACTTGGTTAGCGCCACTGGTTACAACTACTTATTAGAACTTCGAGAATCATCTCTCGAAGCTAATCACTAATGAAGACTAGATTAATTCACTTTTGAAGTTTTCTTAGGATTGATTTATTGTTTTCACGTTGGTATTCATAAATCCCCACAAACCCCAAATTGAATTAATGTAGTGTTCATTGGTGACTAGCTTCGAGAGATGATTCTCGAAGTTCCAACCAGAAGTGGTGACCAGTGGCGCCAACCAAGTTGAACGTGAGAAAACTTACTCAACAACGGCGTTGGTAACACGCTGGTCACGGAACCTGAAGGTCCTGGGTGCACGGTCATGCGTACGCACTGCTGAGGAACCCATACTAGGAAGAAACAAGTGTTTAGTGCTCCCAGGTTTCTAATATTCCTCTAACTGAAGTTATTCCATGGTAAATATCAACCTAAAATCAATAAATTCCCCCGAACCTCAAAACTCAAACTCATGCCTTAAAATTACACTCCAACATCTGATTGCGTCACAAAAGCTGAGCTGTAATTCATTGGTACTTGTAATTTCCTGTTGCCATAATGAGTTGAATTACTTGACCACTGTTGGCAGACGGGTTCCTATTTGGATGATTCGATAGTGTCAGAATATTCACTATATTGTAGTCTACTTGTTAGTTAGCAGTGGAATCCAGGACACGCGTTCCGTCCTATTTAAGACTGATCAGCTGGATGTACCTGCACCCCAGTGAGTGGTGTTTTACCCATAGAAACTAAAAGTATCGATAAACAACAATTAATCCCCGTTGCAAAAATGGTGACTACCTTGTCCCACTGGCGTAATGGATAATGCTTTCGCGTTTTAACGTTGGCTTCCGGATTCGAGTCTCGGTAAAAAGAACATTATTCACTGGGGTCCAAGTACTTCCAGCTGATGAGTCCGAAATAAGACGAAACGCACACCCTAGACTCCATGGCTAACCAACAAGTAGACTACATTATCATTGTAATTTAGTTGGTGCTATGTGGAGAGGTATTGCTTGCCATCAAGATAGTTTTCATCGTGAAATGAAAACCTAGGAGCAAGGCCTTCCTGTTTCGGCCTAGTATGTGACTCGTCAGAAGCACCAGGTTTCATTGGCTTGGAATCAGGTAACCCCTCATTTTTTTTAATCTCTATTAGCTCACTGTGTAACTCAAGATGGATTGCCTAAAGTTCTAATACGGAGTCATCGCCAGTGGGATCAACCAAGTCGACAGTGAAGATAGTTATTCGAGAATGATATTAAATGTTAGTCAAACTATACTACAAGCCAACAGATGTTAGAAACAACGGACTATTGGATACCATCCCAGTGATTGAAAGATAATGTGTTAACCGTGAAGCTTGACGGTCGATTCTAGCATCAAACCCTCTTGAGGACATGAATGCGTTCAAACTAGGATGAAGCAGCTATCCAATACTCAAAGTTTTTTAATGATTCGCCAACGAATGTCAATCTGTTAGTAACAACTATTTCAAAATCCACAGTAACTGGAGTCTGATATTCTCCTAGTGTTATTGTTTTTGCGTGATTGAAGTGAAATTATCAACTTTTTTTGATACTGGGCCTGAATATCACTGTAAATCCCCAGTAACTGAATCGTATAAAGTAAACTTTACTAAGTCTCACTTTAAGTGAACTATTTTATCATTTTAGTAGGTAGAATAAGAAGTTTATAGAACACACGTATACACTTTTTATTTATTTGAAAAGCCTCTTTTCACCAACCAGTGTTTACACAGTAGTCTGCAAGCAATACAAACCCAATACGTAGTAGAATCCATTCTAATCGCTAATCAGAATGTCAACCAGAACAACAATAATAGTAATAATACCACCGTCACGTGAAGATAAGAAGAGAAAACGATCCGTTGACAGAGATTTTTACTGTCTCAGCAAAAGTTAAAAACACTTGAGAGTGATGACCTTGATAAACACTAAATTCACTGATAAACTAAAAGAGTTAATAACCAATGGGAGTTCAGCCTTCAGAAGCTGACAACAGCGTGATTATTTGTCCTTTAAGTTCCAAGTGGAATATAGGTCTTCAGTAGCACATCACCATCTCACTCTGTTCTCTGAAGTCTTTTGAAGCTGGTTCCACGGCTGCTCACAAGCTTTTATTTCTGCCTCATTACCATCTCCTCTATGTCGCTCTCGTCTCGGAAGCCCAACTCGTTGTTTCCCATTCGGGTTCCACTCAACGGCCTGGTGTGTGATGTCCCCAAATGTTCTTCTCAGTGTATCTTCGATCCACCTCCACTTTCTTCTGTTTATTTGTTGGGCGATAGGTTGTTGGTTGGTACATTGCTGGGCCAGAGTTCCTTGTTGCTTATTCTTTCTGATCATCTGATCTTCAGTATCGAGTGAGCGTAGGTGGCAGCTGTTGATATGATGTATGTCTATAGTTTGTCCGAAATGGTTTTCGTAATGCGCCAAGTCTCTCAACCATCACATGGAAGCACTGACTTGACATTAGTGTTGAGAATCCGGATGTTGTTAAAGCTTTATGCTGAATGCAGTAGATGTCCACACTGATTTCAGGAATCATAAATTTATTTTAAGCTTTTTAGTCAAACATCGAGTAAACATTAGACAGAATTAGAGGTATATAACGTATAAATGTCATCAATGAGTACTGAAGGCTATTCACGGATAAGGTTAAATGTTATCCCTAAGTTTAATAGTGTTCTGTGTGAAATTACGTATTTTCTGTGTTTTATAAGCATATACTTTGAAGTGAAAACTGTAATCATAAATTCGTTTTGCTGCAGTTTCAAGGCTCAATTAACTTACGTTGATTTTTGAGCACCTTTTCCATAAATCTATGTATTTCCGTCCCAGCTAGGAGGTGGAAGTATAACCACTACTTTTCGCAAACTAGTCGGTTGGGATCGGCAGGATAAGAGGAACCAGTGGTTGGAGACTGACTCTAGGTGATCACATGGCTCAGAATCCATGTCAGTGGCGCAGATGTATACATACATTATCCTCATCTTAATGACACTATACCGAATCTCACTATTTTCTCATTCTTCCTTTCTTTCTTTTACTACATTATATTTCTTATGACTGCATTCTCTTATCTTCATCTTGTGCCTCACTGCCTTTTTACTTGATGTGGTGATATGAGCTGTGACGACTTGTACCGTTACGCAGTAATGCCTGGTCCTATGTTGATATTGATGATCGATGAGGACATGAATAAAGGTAAGATATGGATACAGCACACAGCGAATATATGAATTCGCACACAGAACCCTATATCCCACCTGGGGATAACTATTAGCCTCACTCCTATTCACTAACATCATTGTACAAGTGATGGAAATAATTATAAATACATTCATGATTCAATTAACTGTTGAATAAGTTAATTTTAAACCTTATATACTTAAAAATAATTTTTTTTTAGAATATGTTGACATATATACACCTGTTTATTTGGTTTTCCTCTTGAAAAAAACAAACCCAACTACATTTTAGGTATGGACTATATATTGTGAAACTGTTGCAAGTTTATCTCCAGTAAATTCAAATCAACATAAGGCAGCTATGGCTACAGCATTCGACTTTTGGATAAGAATTATGCCAACTGTTTTACGTATATTATCCATTTCTGAAGATGTAAGCCAATTATTTTTTCCACAAAAAACCAAACCCAGTTCAGTAAAGTTCAGTTCACAGTTAGAAATTTTTCGAAAAGCATGACTTCTAAGTAATCAGTGTTGTAGATTTATCGAATACGGTAGGTAATGTATTATTATTACTATTATTCGTCCTTTGGGTTCCTTTTGGAACATAGGGCTTCAGTAGCACGTCTCCACTCCACTCTCTTCTCTGCAATCTTTTCAACCTCGCTCCAAGACAACCCACAAGCTCTCATTTTCTCCTCGCAAGATCTCCTCCATATCACCATCACCTCGGACGCCCAACTCGTCGCTTCCCATATGGGTTCCACTCGACGGACTGGCCTGGCCTGATGCGTGATGTCCCCGAATAGTCTTCTCAATGCACGCCCAATCCATCTCCACTTCCTGCTACTGCATATTTGTTGGGTGATAGGTTCTCGATTAGTTGGTTCGTTGTCAGCCAGAGTTCCTTGTTGTTTATTCTTATTATTCTGGCCATCTGATCTTCAGTAATGAGCCAGCGTAGGCGGCAGCTGTTGATGAATGTCTGTTCATGCTTTATGCTGAGTGCAGTGCAGTAGATCTCCACACTGGTTTCAGGCTAGTGAACTCCTGTCTTGCTTTTGTGATCCTGGCTACTTTGACGTCCTCGTCTGCGCCACCACCTGTAGTTGAAACGATGCTGCCTAGGTGAGTAGGTGAAAGAGACTACTTCCTTTAAGTTTCTCCCTTTGATGGTTATTGGAGCTTGTTGTTGTTGTTGATGGTGGTGGTGGCGTTGGTTGGGTATCATCTTCACCTCTGTCTTCTCTATATTCACTTAAAGTCCCGTCTTCGCTGCCTCGTCTCTTCTGTCAACTTGTTAGTTTTCGCCTGTATATCTTCGAGTTTGTGTGACATTAGACACAAGTCACAACTGGCGAAATCCAGATCTCCTAGGTTCTTTTCCGCGGTCCAGTGTATAGTTACCCAAATGTATAGGTTTCTTATAGAAAGATCTCTTCAATGTCTCATTATCTCATCTAGTCAGTTTTTGTATTATGGAAATAAATAAAAGTTAGTATATTTCAGCCACTATCAAAATATTATCAATATTGAGACAGAGGAGTTATGAAATAGTGGAGAATATTTGTAGCTCAGATGGATGGTCTTGGTTGTATTGTGTTCTCTGATGTGAGTTTTCTAATCGTGGAGCGGCATCATCAACAGTACAAACTTAAGTATGAAGTGATGTGCCAATATCTCTCCATGAGTGATTTACGGCAAGCTACTAAATCACCTACGGAGAAATACTGACAACTCACTTCAAACTGAAGTTAGTGCTGTTGATGATGTCGTCTAGGAAGACGATGAAAGCTTCACGACTAAACAACTCAGCTTAGAGAATGCAATACAACCGAGACAATGTGTCTTGAAAGGATTTCAACACTGTCTGTGATCAAATCTTACCAGGAATACTTAGAAGTAATCTCAGTTTCACGTTTTAGCTTGTATGATAACAATATTGCTCAATAAGAGTCCAATATATCTAGGTGATGAATTTTGAATAAGACAGAACATGCGTCTTTGATTCCACTACTTGACGCTATTCATTATGAGTTGTAATCTTAATCTGTTGAACATCTATGACTTACACAAACAAATATCTTCAGATATCTTGTTGTGGTTAGATAAGTATACTGAGATTATAACAGTAGTTAATCATGGAAATTGGTTAGCGGAGATGAGGGGTAGTTTAAGATACCCATTTCGTCGTATGTGGAAGTTATCAGCTCAGTGTATTCGAATTCCAATGTGTTAACCATTATAAGCATATGATTACTAATTAAAAAAAATTACCAGGAATATGGTAGCATATACTAAGGAGTCCATATACGAATATAGATTGTTCAATTTCATTTAATCAACTATTTGAAACTATGATTGTCAAAATCAAACTGAATTGATATTCAGATATTTTTGTAACTATGCCAAGTGTTTGTTATGACTACTCTAACTAGTTGACATCAGGTAAGTAATCACATGAAATAATGTGTTGCTAGACAATTCGCATCAACTTGTCGCATAAGTTCTAGTATGACAACTAACATCATCATCATTATAATATGAAATATCAGCTCATATTAACAATTCCAACATAGAGAACAATACTACTTATCAATTACTAAAAAATAGTAGTATCTTCAAGACACAAACTTATTATATAGAATATTATAAACACTTATGGTATCAGACGAACTTTACATCATACAATGAATTGACTACTGTATAAAGTATTACTCATCTACATAGTTGAATTCTTATCTATCAGGAATTTTTATCATGTTAACATGAGGTTAGACAATTACTCCGCTAATGTGTATAGCACCATACTTTTGCGTTCATCTTATTAGATTTGTTTAGTTGATATATAACATACAATGATACAATATTATTTACTTGATGACCATGTTTCGAGCATAAATGATCATTGCTCATAGTCATCATATCAATGTGTAACCACTTCGGATATCTCGTTTTTATAGTTACGTCACTTTATATGAGTTGTTTTCATTAGTAGCGAAATTTTCCATATCTCTGTTACAGGTATTGCGTCATGTGTTGAGTTAAGTGTTGATTCGATGAACAAAGATTTAGTAATCAGCCCCCCTCTCTCTCCACCTAATTATATTGGAGTTAAGTACAGTGGCTTTATCCCACTAAATTGTAACCATTAAATATCAATTTTTTTTTGAGGTAAATAAAACAACGAATTTCAAGTTTCAGATTGAAGAAAAAATGCGTATATTCTGATTAGTCAATTAGCCACCGTCAACATGGAACTCAGCATTACTGCGTAAATATAGAAATAGCCAAACTTCATCACACCAGATTAAGATGAAAGATAGGGAGATAGGCAATAAATTTACTCAAAAGGAGGGGGGGGGCGGGTAAAGCAAGTAACGAAATGCTATTTTATTGGTTGGTTGAATACATCTGTACCACTGACATCGATTCTGAGTTATTTCATCTAGAGTCTCAAAACCATTGGTTGTAATGCGGACCCCAACCAGTCTGTATACCTCAGACCAGTAGTCAGAGACTTCATGAACTGATAGTACTTTATTGGTCTAACCGTCTTTAACCCCTTTTTTTTCAACTTACATCTACTTCAGTTAGTATTGCATTGGTGGATAAATAGTGTCTTGTTGTGTGAAACACATATCTTGATCATGTAAGTTGGCCTCTACATTGTGATGGGGCCAATACATATAACTTAAAGTACGAAAGTAATGGTAGTTAAATACCTAAAGCCTTTACATATCCATTACCTTTGATGGCCATGTCTCAAAATCATATAGCAGGACAAAGTGAACTACTGAGCAATACACTCGATCCTTAGTAGGCAATCGAACCTTTCGCCTAATCGATATTTTTTGTATAAGACATCCAAGCCATTTTTTTAATTGAAAAATATATGAATTTTTTTCTGCATCCTTTGTTTTTATAGTTTGTAATTGTTAGTGGTCGTTTATTAACTGTAATCGAAGAACTAATTGAATGTCAATCATCATTAGTATCAAAGGTATGTTCACTTCATATTATCTTTAGTGTAATGGTTGTTTGGTCTTTTTTGTAACTGCTCTATAAGATTTGTAAAATTAAAAAAAGACGGTAACTACTTCCAATTTAGTGGAACAATATGAAATGAAGAATAATTTCTAATATTTCAGTGGTACTTCATGTAATTCGCTGATTGGTTAATGTCTCAATTTGTGGACAAGGTCATATCTGATGTGTATACATACTCAGGTGTGTTTGGCTTAATTGATAATGATTCTTAGAAGAATAAATTCTCGTATTCAGCTTCGGTCTTCTTCCTCTATTTGTCCAATGTTCTAGTCAGTGATTCTGGCGTACGAAGTTAACTGTCAGTTAAGTGTGGGAAATATATAGCACTTTAGTATACTATACACTCTCATTTTTAGATTATTTGAAGGATTTTATGAACCATCCTCTTTATCTGTGTTATATAGAACCAATAAGATAAGTCAAGTAATAATACTGATCTTAAGTGTTTTCATGTATAATAATGGATTGTGGTTAGCAGTGGAATCCAGGACACATGTTTCTCCCTATTTGGGACTCTTCAGCTGGCAAACAATGTCACATCGACTTTTATATCTAGTGGGAAAAAATAGGTTGGAAGATGACACCTGTTCAACAGCCTAGAAACATTCGTTCACCTTTAGACCATTCTCGAATTGCTTACAGATTAACTCCACTAGTGTTAAGATGACCAATAACTAGTCAGAGAATTGATCAAGTAGAATTTTCTGTGTTCTTTTTAGCTAAACATTACCACTTTGAATTAGTTAGATGCACCTAGTACTTTTATTCATTTGACTTTTCTCTTCTGAGTGACTTTAAAGACAACCCTAGCAACTGCTAAGATGACTAACTAATCAGTCTTCGCCCAGAAAAGTACTATTCCATCAAAATGTTTTTCCTACACCAACCTTAGCGACGTATCAAATAACGTTGGATTTTTACAGATTATGAATAACCTAATCAACATCATCAATATCAACATAGGACCAGGCATTACTGAGTAACGATGCGAGTTGCCACACCTCATATCAGTACATCAAGTAGAAAGGTAGTGAAGTGCAAGATGAAGATAAAAAAATTCAGTCAAAATGAATACAATGCACTAGAAGAAAAAAAGGAAGAATGAGAAAATAGTGAGATCCGGTATAGCGTCGTTACGATGAGGATAATGTGCGAATTCATCTGCACCACTGACATCGGTTCTGAGCCATATCACCTAGAGTCTCCAACCTCTGGTCCCCCCTGTCCCACGCACCCCAACCGCCTAGTCTACATCGTCCCCGCACATGGCTCAAACCAACAGTCAGAGACTTCATACAGTGGTGGCATGTTTTAGTGTGGCCACCTCGAGCCTTTTTCCAGTCTGAACCTACTTCAACCAGCATTATGTGACCAGGCAATCGGTGACTAGGCATACATAGTACGTGTCCCAATCATCTCAATCGATGAAGGTTCATAACCTCGTCAACTGATTTACCTCTACTCCGTAGAACTCTACACCTGACTTGTGCGTTACTCACGTGGTGCGGTGACACCATGGAATATGGCCTATAATACGAAGGCAACTACTGAACTAAGTTAATCATACAGTTACTTTGTGCTAAATAACATTCAATTATTATAAATTCTGTTGTGTTTTTTTATTTACAGCTGTTTACATTATGGATGCCGCTTTTACACGGAAGGCATAGACAGGTAATTTCATTCATTGCATAGAATAAATAATAAGGTCATTGTTTAATATATAGCCCTTTTGGGCGACTTTAAAGCCAGCCTTGAAAATGTTAACTAATCAGTTTTCAGTATTCCGGCTGGAAGGGTAGTCTTTTGTAAAATCTACAAGCTTAATTGGTTATCACAGTAGTTTCTGGGGTGGCCTTTAAAGCTGGATGGCTGTGAAAGGCCACCCTAGTAACTGACAGGACAACCAATTACATTTCTGTACTTTTATAGAGAAGTACTTTTCCAGGCGAAATAAAGAAGTCTGATTGATCATTTTAGCAGTTACTAGGGTGGCATTTAAAGTCATTCCTAAAGCCACTCAAATGTACCTTACGAGCCCAAAATTAAGAGATCTAGTTGGTTATTTCGACCGTTGTTCCGGTATCATTTAAAGTCATCTGAGTTCAAGCCTAATCAACACAATTTTCTCTTCGTGGTCAAGCCTAGCACCATAGCAACGATTGAAATGACTAATTAGGTTTCTTTATTTCAGTTGGGAAGGCAGATTTTCACCGGATAAAGTCTAGTTGGTTATTCCGGTTGTGGCGTCGATGCTTTTTAGAGTCGAGTGACATTAAAGGACACTAACAACTGCTAAAATAGCCATTCAGGTTGCGGTATTTTGGCTGAGAAGACAGTTTTTTATAGAATAGAAAAATGTAATTGGTTGTTTCAAGGAGGAATTCTACAGACAACTGCAATCAACACTGGACAAGACACCACTCCGGTTGGCGATATCAAAATTCTAATAGGCGACAGGTATGCCAAACTGGGAGGGGACAACACAGGAAGAGAACTAACCATGGGTCAAGAAGCGCTCGGTGATGAACGAGAATGGAGAATTGTTTGCAGAATTCTGTGCATTCAACGATTTGGTGATTGAAAACACTATGTTCAAGCACAAGGATATCCACAGAGCGAGCCACATGGATTTCACCAGACACCAGAACACACTGAAAATGAAATCGACATTATCTCAATCTCAAGAAAATGGAGACGCAGTCTACTGAACACAAGGTCAAGAAGAGGAGCAGATGTAGGTTGACACCTCTCATTATCTAGTGCAAGGAACCTTCCAAATCAAGTTAAAAGCCTTCAAGGAAGCTGGTGATAGACCGCAGTTCAAGTACAACACTCGGAAACTGAAGGATGAAACTTCAAAGGAAATCTTCACGGCAGCCAGCCATCAAGACAAAATGGGAGATATCGAGGAACATCCCTGAAGGAAACTGTGTGGAATAACACTGGAGGTCTTTGAAAGCTATATGGAAAGAAACCTGCACAACCGTATTAGGAAGGAAGAAGAAAGAAGACAAGGAATGGATCTCGACAGATACATGGAAGCTGATAGGGGAGAGGGAGGAGGATGGTGAAGCAGAAGATAAACCAGGGCAAGGATGCTCAACGACAAGAGGAACTGAGTACAATGTATAAAACACAACACTGGACAAAGAAGTGAAGAAGAGTGCACGCAAACACAAAATACACTTCTACGACACATTGGCAAGTGAAGCAGAACAGGCTGCCTCAGGTAGGAGAGACCTGACAACATTGTATCAAATAACTAGGTTACTATCTGGGAAGAGATCAACGCAGACGAAACCAATAAAGATGATGACGGAAATTTAATTACGAAACAAGAGAAACAAAGGAAACAATGGGCTGACCACTTCAAGAAGCTCTTGAATCGACCACCACCACCACCTGCACTTCGTCCAGAAATACCACCTACAGCCGCTAAACTACAAGTGAACATAAATCCTCCAACAAAAATGGAAGTCCTGAACGCCATAAAGCTACTGAGGTGTGGGAAAGCAGCAGGACCAGATGGGATCCTGCCAGAAGCACTGAGAGCAGACGCAGAGACAACAGCGGACATGCTCACACCACACCACTATTGCAGAAGGTGTGGAAAGAAGATTCAAAACTGCGACCGGAACAGGCTGGCAGGCTTCAGAAAGTACAAATAATGTGCGGACCGAATTGCAACGCTTCGCATCATCATAGAACAGAGCATAGAATGGCAGTCTAGTCCACTCGCTACTTCAACTTCATCGACTTTCAGAAGGCCTTTGATAGCGTCGACCGAGAGGTAATTTGGAAACTGCTTCAATACTACGAATACCACAAACCTTTATCAGCCTCATTCAACAACTATATGAAGACGCCACATGCCGGCCAAGTAATTCACAATGAGAAGCTCAGTGATGCTTTTGAAGTGAAGTGAAGACAGGAGTAAAACAAGGTTGCCTACTATCCCCCATGATATTCCTGATTGTGGTCGACTGGACTGGACTGGATCATGCAGCAAACAGTGGGGAGCTGTGAGAAGAGGGGGATACGCTGGCTGGACTGCGAAAAAGAACCTAGGAGATCTGGATTTCGCCAGTGATGACTTGTGTCTAATGTCACACAAACTCGAAGATATACAGGCGAAAACTAACAAGTTGACAGAAGAGGGTAGGCAGCGAAGACGGGACTTCAAGTGAATTTAGAGAAGACAGAGGTGATGAAGATGCCCAACCAACGCCACCAGCAACAACAACAAACTCCAATCACCATCAACGGGAGAAACCTGAAGGAAGTGGTCTCCTTCACCCATCTAGGCAGCACTGTTTCATCTACGGGCGGCGGTGGCACAAACGAGGATGTCAAAACCAGGATTGGAAAGACAGCAAGACAGGCGTTCATTAACCTGAAACTAGTGTGGAGATCTGCACTGTACTCAGCATAAAGCATGAACAACATCCGGAGTTTCAACACCAATTCCGTCAAGTTAGTGCTCCTGTATGGTTCAGAGACTTGGAGCGTTATGGAAGGGATTTCTAACAAACTATAGACATTCATCAACAACTGCCTACACTGGCTCGTTACTGAAGATCAGATAGCCAGAATAATAAGAATAAGCAACAAGGAACTGTAGCTGACAACGAACCAACTAAGCGAGAACCTATCACCCAACAAATATGCAGTAGCAGGAAGTGGAGATGGATCGTATGTGGCATACACTGGGAATGCCGATTTGGGACATCACGCATCAGGCCAGGCCAGTCCAGTCCGTCGAGTGGAACCCAGATGGGAAGCGACGAGTTGGGCGTCCGAGGTGAGGGTGATATGGAGGAGATCGTGCAAGGAGGAAATGAGAGCTTGTGGGCCGTCTTGGAGCGAGGTTGAAAAGATTGCAGAGAAGAGAGTGGAATGGAGACGTGCTACTGAAGCCCTATGTTCCAAAAGGAACCCAAGGGGACTAATAATAATAAATAATAATTGGTTGTTTCATCAGTCGTTTGGGTGACCTTTACAGTCTTGGAGTCACTCGAGAACTCACATGTGCGAAATTAGCAAATTTAAGAGCCACCCTGGCAACTGCTGAGATAACCAATTATGCTTTTATATTCTATGAGAAACTACCCTTCTAGCCTGAATTCTGAAATTGATTGGCTATTACAGAAGTTGTCAGGGTAGCCTTAGAAGTCACTCCAAAATAGGAGGCGCTTTTAAAGGCTACCTTACCAATTGCGGAAATCATCAGTCAGGCTTCAGTATCTATCCTGGAAAAGTACTTTTCCGTAAAATAAAGTAATATAATTGGTTGTCTCATTAGCTGCTAGGATGGCCTTTAAAGTCACCCCATGAAAGACTATCTTTCCAGCCGGAATACTGAAACCTGATTGATTAACTCGACAGTTCCTAAGTTGGCCTTTAAAGTCACCTGACGGATGTTCATAAAATAGAGAAGTTGGATTAGTTACTCAACTTGTTGCTAGGGTAGCCTTTAAAGTCACCATATCAGTTTTAAAGGTGAAACTATGTTTACTTATTGAATATACGTCTCCAAGTGAAGTGTCTGAATTGAAGTTTAAAACAGACGAAAAGCTGAATTGTAATCTCAGCAAAAGACTGTAAAAATGCACACAATTGATTGTTCACATTCATTTATAAGTTTATAGCATAATCGAAAGTGTGACATCTATGTGAAAAATGGTCATCGACCTATAGCTATGACTGAAAATACAACAAGTTGAGAAATATTTCATAAATTCTTTAACGCTCAAAACTTGGAACACAGAAAAACTAGTAATATATTATATCATTATTAATTATTTATCCCTTGGGTTCCTTTTGGAACATAGGGCTTCAGTAGCACGTCTCCATTCCACTCTCTTCTCTGCAATCTTTTCAACCTCGCTCCAAGACAGCCCACAAGCTCTCATTTCCTCCTCGCAAGATCTCCTCCATATCACCCTCACCTCGGACGCCCAACTCGTCGCTTCCCATCTGGGTTCCACTCGACGGACTGGCCTGGCCTGGCCTGATGCGTGATGTCCCAAATCGGCATTCCCAGTGTATGCCACATACGATCCATCTCCACTTCCTGCTACTGCATATTTGTTGGGTGATAGGTTCTCGCTTAGTTGGTTCGTTGTCAGCCACAGTTCCTTGTTGTTTATTCTTATTATTCTGGCTATCTGATCTTCAGTAACGAGCCAGTGTAGGCAGTTGTTGATGAATGTCTATAGTTTGTTAGAAATCCCTTCCATAACGCTCCAAGTCTCTGAACCATACAGGAGCACTAACTTGACGGAATTGGTGTTGAAACTCCGGATGTTGTTCACGCTTTATGCTGAGTGCAGTGCAATAGATCTCCACACTGGTTTCAGGCTAGTGAACTCCTGTCTTGCTTTTGTGATCCTGGCTACTTTGACGTCCTCGTCTGCGCCACCACCTGTAGTTGGAACGATGCTGTCTAGGTGAGAAGTGAAAGAGACTACTTCCTTTAAGTTCCTCCCTTTTATGGTGATTGGAGCTTGTTGTTGTTGGTGGTGGTGGCGTTAGTTGGGTATCATCATTGGAAACTTGTAGAAGACTATGTGGTCTAATCTGGGAAAACTCCTAAGCAAATATAGAGGGGTAGTTTTATGGATTCATCAATCAGTTAATCATTTTATCAGATATAATATTCTGTAATAAAA